TGGCACCAACACACTGGAAGAATTCATGAGCTTTCTAGCAGCAATATAAGGCAGATACACCGTCCAAAGACTTCTCCAGCAGCTATAAAAGGTTTTTAATTCAATTAATAACCTATGAAGCTCGTCTTTATTGATGCAATTGCTATTAAAACTGTGAAAGTCAATCAAGCTTTTTCTTAGTCATCTTAATATTGGATAATATTATATCTAAAGCTAAGTAAAGCATCTTTACAGACATTTATAGGCAAGAAATGTGTATGTGAAACTAGAAGACTAAAAGTTTATTAATTTTATCAGCAGCATTAAACTTTTATCATGTAAATCATGTTTGCTATGCCTAAATCATGATGCATGCTTTGAAATCATCGGGAGTAGATTATAGATGGATAGATCCAGTGCCATATAATTGCTTTGCTAGCTTAGGCTCGCCCCTTAATGTTCTACATTGCTTCTAGTTATTTTTATTTTTTATTTTTGACAATAATAATTATTAATTCATAATTACCGGTAATTATCTGACGTTATAGAAAGGCGTTACCTTCAAAGTCCAAACAAAATGGCAGCCAAAGCACTAGGTCAGTATTTTGTTTATACTTGATTATGACTCGTGTGTTGTTACTATTAGTGTATCATTCAGTTACTGTTACCTCTTGTTATCTATAGACTATCAACCAGTGAAGAGGTGGAAACACTCCACTGTACGGGTAGGAGACTACCTGTACATGTGGGGTGGGAAGCAGCCTGGTCTCCCTGAAGTACATAATAATGAAAAGAAGAAATCAATGTGTTCTGTGATGGAGGTGTGTCACCTAAGGACTGGTAGGTGGGAGCAGAAACCCACCACTGGTAACCCTCCACTGGGTGTTAGGGGCTATGCAGCTGCTGCCATTGGAAGGGAAATATTTTATTTTGGAGGGGATTGTAATCATGGTGACTGTTATCATAATAGTTTATACAGGTAAACATGATAGTTACTGATAAATATTATTTACTATTTTATACAGTTTTAATGTTGATACCTTCAACTGGAAGGAACTCTCTCCTACTACATCTCATCATAGTCCTATGATGAAGGATGACTGTGACATGATAGCAATAAAAGTGAACGGTGAGGACTATCTTGTAGTAATTGGAGGATATGGACCATCTTCTAATAATACACCACAACAACCTGGTGCCCAGTACAGTGAGACTAAAGTATTATATTCTAGTTATCAACGATGCAATGAGATCCATTTCTATAAACTCTCAACAGGTCAGAGCACATACAGTTTATATTAATATAATGAAGTATTGTTATTTGGTGGTTCTCCACTCAGACTGGTTGCATTGAGAATTGCTTGCTTGTTTGTTCATGGTTGTCACTCCTAATTATTTGATAATATGATCATAGAAATATCAACTAGTTTGCTCCACCCAATACATTCCATTCATACTAATTATTATTATTGATATTTTTAGGACAATGGATATCACCGACTGTCATTGGAGACAGACCACCTCCTATTGATAAATTCACTTTAACATCAATTAATAATTCCAGTGCTATATTATTTGGACGTAGTGACACTGCTAATGGAGAGAGTAACAATGTATATATTCTTAATTTTACTGATACATCAGTGGTGAGTGTATTATTAGTATAATTACATTAATTATTAATTAATAATGTATTGTATGTGTGTATTAATATTCGTAACACTGAGCGTGTGAGTGTGGTTTATGATAAT